ACAACAGTCTTGCCTGGCAACCCAAATGTGCCTGGCTTCCAGGCTTTGGCAGGAATCTCTACCCCCATCATTGTACAGGGACAGCTACTTTGCCAGCCTCGATTCTGAGGTGCAACAATTTCCCAAAGGATGGCCCTTCCTCCTATTTTAAGGATGGGAGGAAGGTTTTAACAGATGAATAGAATTGGAAGGGACCTTGTACTGTAGGTCATTTAGTCCAACCCCTTGCCCAACCAACCCCTACACCATTTCTGACAAATGACAGTCCAATCTCTTCTTAAAAGCCTCCAGTGATGGCGCCCCCACAACTTCTGAGGGCAAGGTGTTCCATTGGTTGATTGTTCTCACTGTCAGAAAATTTCTCTTTATTTCTAGGTTGAATCTCTCCGTGATCAGTTTCCATCCATTATTCCTAGTCTGGTTTTGGCTGCCTTGGAAAATAGCTTGACCCCTTTCCTCTCTGTGGAAGCCCCTCAAATACTGGAACACTGCTATCCCATCTCCCCTGGTCCTTCTCTTCACTAGACTAGCCATTCCCAGGTACATTGCAGGAATGTGGAGGAAGTCCAAAGAGACAAGGAGCTGACCCGTTGTCTCTTCTCTTCATCCCGTTTTACACAGTGAGATGCCTGATGTAGGCTCTCCTAAACACTAATTACAACAGCCAAGTGAAGTATCCATCCATACCCACATTCATACCAGCATCACAATGTCTATTGATGCTACCTATTTGGACACTAGAAAACAAAGCAGAGGCATAGGAAAAATAACGAAACAGCACAGGCAAAACACTGGATGAATCATGGTAAAAGTGCTTGTCCCATTTTGAAACTGTCAGCCAATCTGCTTGGGTATAAGCCATTTCTTTTACAGAAAGTAACAAAAAGTGGAGAATGTAGCACTCTCAGAAATCATTTGTTACAGTACTCATTTACTGGTACTTTATGTGATTAGCATCATGGTCCTGTTTCATAGTTTTTGTTTAGTACCTTAATATATTTTTGAGGGAGATGGAGACAGATGGTTTGGACAGTCACACACGAGCAGGGCAAAGTAACATTGATGTTTCTTCCTCCGTGTCTTTAAATTCTCCTGTCTTTTCTTATGCTACTGATTTTTACTCTCTACTGTACTCTCTTTCATCTTTTACCTTTACCTTTTTCTTTTTCTTTTTATTGTTATTTGTTTATGCTTCCTTACACTGAGGCTGTTTTCACTCAGTTTTGATTATGAGAGGTCCGATTCTTAACCCCTAATTTTCCACAGAAATAGGTGCTCTCTTAGCTCCCGTTTAACATCTACATGAAACTGCTGGGTGAGATCACTCGTCAACATAGAGTGAGATATCATCAGTATACTAATGATACTCAGTTGTACATTGTTATTAAGGGATGCTACAACTGCCCTTTTGCAGTGCCCGAAAACTCTTTGAGATTTGGATGGGGAGCAACACGCTAAAACTGAACCCTGGCAAGATAGAATAACCTTTGGGTTTGGAGCTCCTTGGTTCTTGGGAAATGACTATTGTTGGTCATAGATAGGATTGCATTGTCTCAGATAGACCCAGTGCATAATCTGGAGATTCTTTTGGACTCATAACTCTTGCTTGAGGAAGAGGTAGCAGTCATGGCCAGGAGAGCCTTGCACAATTGCAAGTTGTGTGCCAGTTAAGCCATTCCTGGATCTCCTCACAGTCATGTTCTAACAACTTCCTGTTTGGACTACTGTAATGCACTCTACATAGGGCTGCTCTTGAAAATTATCTGGAAGTTTCAGTTGATTCAAAATGCAGCATAGTTCTACACAAGTCAAGATTTGAACATGTGACATCTCTTTTGCAGGAGCTGCATTGGTTACTTATCTGCTTCCAAGTGCAATTCAAAATACTGGGTTATCATCTTTAAAGCCCTACATGGCTTGGGGCCCAATTATTGAAGGACTGTCTCTCCTCGGTTACCCAGCCCACCAGAGCAACAAGGCAAGGTATGCTGAGGGTCTCATCTATAAGGGAGGTACATCTTGTAGGATCAGTAAAAGGGCCTTCTCTGTGATGGCTCTCTCCTTTTTGAATATCATTCCCTCAGAGATAAGATTGGCCTTCACCTTGCTACTTTTTCTGGAAGACCCTGAATATGTGGTTTTGGCAGTGGACCTGGGGACTCCGTGGTAGATACAGAGCCAATCAATTGGCTGGTGTGACCGTGTGGTTACCACCACTGGGGCAGATGAGAGTTTATGGGTTTTAATTGTAAGCTGCCTAGAGTCACTGTGTGTGAGTTGGGCAATCATATAAATTTATCTAACAAATAAATAAAATGGTGACAAAGATCTTAGAAATGATATCATTTAGTATCCTTTTTAATAGATAAAAACAATTCAGGCTTCAGTCCTATCCAATTGGGTTCCTTGTAAGTCTGCTCACCAGAAGTTTGGGAATTTTTGTTGAACACAACTAGAAGGCACATATTTGGAGAAGGCGGGCATACAACCTTACTTGAAAATTAGTACCACTAAATTCAATCGGATTTCCTTGATTAATCTTGGACTGCATTGTCACTTGCTTTGTAATATGTTTTTTCTTCAGATTGTGAGGACAACAATTAAATAAGTCTGCACAGACAGAACAGATCCTACAAGATATTGAACATCAACACCACAGCTAGAAGTGAACAGCTAACACATGAAAGACTGTGAAAATGGATGAATTACATTGCACATTTCACGAACAATTGCTTTCTCCTTTTCACTCAGGTCTTCTTCATAGTTTTCTTGTATCTGCCTGTCCAAATTCTCATGGACTTCAAGGACCTATAGACAAGCACAATGGAGATGAAATTATAAAATATGTCACATCATGATTTATTACAGCCAAAACAGAACAGAACAAAATCTCACAACACACACAGAGAAAGAGAGAGAAAGGAAGAGAAAGGATAAAGACTGAAAAGATTAGAATGCAGCAATAAAATATGATCAAAGTATTTCATCCACATGCCATATAACTCTAAACTTAAATTAGTGATCGGCAAGGTAGGAGATCCAGGAAAGTATGTAACTGATATTTAAAGTTAGATAAACATGTAGACATCAAGTACATTTTACTGGGTTCTAGATACAGCTAAGACATGTGTACATCCCAACACTGAAAAAAACAATACAACACACAAGATTTCAAGATGTGCTAATAATGAATTAGGTAGACCAGTGATTTAACTCAGTTCCTATATTTCTCCTGCTGAAAATTATTTCAATGAATACAGTTCTTTATCACTGTATAAAGATTTGGAAAATACTAAGTGTAGGGCTCACTCATGGAAAAACCAGGAGAGCTGCCGTCAGTCAGTACAGCACAACCTTCTTCAACCTGGCAACTCATTTGTATTGGGATCAGAACATCTACAATTTTCAGCCAGCTTCAAGACATCTGGAAAGAAGGTTGGAAAAGGCCAATCTAAACAGTTCTAAACGAGGTAGAAAAAAGGAATTTTCTATGTTTTCACACTCAAATCATTTTCTCAGGATTTTAATCACGTTTGAATGGAAACATTTATTAGTTTGATGATAACCTCATACTCTTTGACTGGCTTACATACTAACTATACTTCCACAAAGGAAAGGAGAGAGATAATATTCATCCATTTCCCTTGAAGTCTGATTATTCCTTAAGTTCCCATAGTAATAGATGCAAACGGGATTGCCTGAGAAGGATGCTGATGAAAGAGAACCTGCCAAGTGCTTGTTCTTGCCAGCAGAAACAAGCTGGGTACTAAATTAAAAGAATAAACATGTTTCTGCGATCTTTGTTTTCCAATCCTATTACTGTATTATAAACCCATTCACTAGATTTTTTTAAATTAATTGTTATTGAAGAAGTTACAAAATAGTAAAAATTATACAAATTTGAGAAAAAGAGAAAAAAGTAAAGAAAAATATGTGTAAAGAAGAAGAAAAAAATAAGCATCTTCTGATCTTTAAAGCAGTTACAAATACATTTATCATCTATTTTCCATCTTTAGGGTTACATCATCATTTCCTTTTTGTCATATTTACCCTTTCTAATTATCAAATTCATAAATCACCAGTTCATTTTTTCCATTTTCAGTAAAAAAAAAATCCATCAAGGATTCCCAGTGAAACATGCTTAGGATTATAAAGAAACATTTTTGCAAATTCTGTCATTTTTACCAATCATTCTCCTTCTGTAGGTATTTCCAAATCTTTCTGTCTTTGTGCATATTTCTACATATTGTCCATAACTCATAACCAAAAAAAATCTTGTTTCAGCTAAATGTTAATTGTTACAATCCTTTATATCACTATATGCATTTGGATCAAGAATTTTTTAGCTTTTTTTACCAACCATAATGTGTGATAAAAATCACCTTTCATGTCTTTCACATTTCCAACATAAATTTGAATTTTCTTTATACATACTTAATAATATTGGGTTTTTCTTGGATTTCAAAATGGGGATAACATTGCAATCAATTTTGATTCAAATCCACATAACGATGTGGGTAAAATATACTTTTCCAAAATTTCATGCCATTTTTCCATTATATAACTGCACGTTGATTGCTTAGAATTAGACTAGTACTGTATTTCCTTTTTCCGGCTTATTTTTAAATCCTCAATTACAAAACTGGGTCATTTGCTTACTTAGCTTAACCTACTTTAAAACCTTATAATTCACTAGCTTAACTGACATTACGATCATTGTTTGCATGGCTTAAACTAATTCAATCTGTTGCTTTCCTTTTTTTTTGATGGGGAAGGATACAAGGAAAACAAGAAGGATTTACTGACAAATAAAACTAGATCTTTAATGAAAAGGAAATAATTAATTATTGATCCAAGTGATTGCCGACTGTGCTGCTAACTCATTTGGCCTCCATATGTCTGCCATACACTTAATTGTGTGGACAATCAAAGTTCAAAGCTCAGAGTCAGAAATGGCAACCAACTCACTACTCCTGGAGAATAAATGAGCCAAGCAAACCGAGATGGCTTGATTAATAGTTGCTGGTTATCCAGTCTAAGAAAGTCTGCCATGTTTTATTACCTGCTCAAAAGTCTTTCCTCATATCTCATTTGTTAGAAATACAAAGCTCTACAATAGCATTGTTGCTTATTTTGCTGTCATATCCTATTGCACAATATGCCATTATTTATAATATGAATGACAGCACATTTTGTGGCAAAACTTTTAAGAGATGTTATACTGTTATATTTCCGCACTCTACATTTCAACAGTTTCTTCCACTCTGATGTCCTTCAGGTTCGAAAAATCTAGAGGACATTAAATGGCAAAAGCTGGCAAAGGATATCAGTGGCTTTTGAAAAAATTATCCTTTGCTCCAAAACAGAAAATATAATTTATCACGCTCACAAATAAATATATACGTACCTTCATAGCATGTACTACTGCTTCAGGTTTCTGGCTTAGAGGAATATACCCAACTTGAGGAGTAGCAGCAAAATCAGGAGTCATGCGAAAGGGACCCTGTCAAAATATAAGAAAAAGTAAATCTTTATAATATATAGCTTTGTAATCCCTGCTTCAAGTTCTTCTGTAATCACATATACCTAACAAATCAAGAAAATCAATGTGGTTTGTTGCTATTTTGGATAAAACTCCTGAAAATACTGTGGACAGCCAAGAAAACAAACAAATGGATCATCAAACAAGTCAACACAAAGTTCTCACTCAAGCACAAATGATCAGGTTCAATTATGTCAAATATTATGCTTCAGTCACATTGTGTAAATACCCAGCTCTGACCATCACCAAATAGCCACCATTTCACACTTTCTGCTGCTTTGGCCTAGGGCAGGAGTGTCAAACTCAAGGGCCAGGGGCCAGATTCGGCCCACGGGGTGCTTAGATCTGGCCCATGATGCCACCCTGGAAACAGTGAAGGACCGGCCTGCGGTGGCTCTGCCAGCAAAAACAGAGTTTCATTTTTGCTGGCAGAGGGCTGCAGGATGCCGTCATGGCTGAAAACGGAGCTCAGCAGCCCGTTTTCACTGGCAGAGCACTTGGGCCACCACAGGAGCACCCAACACGAGCGACATCAAACTGGCCATGCCCACCCTGGCCATGCCCAGCCTGCCCCCTGAGGTCAAATGCAATCTTGATGCGGCCCTCAATGTAATTGATTTTGACACACCTAGCCTAGGATGATATTTCCACTGTAATTGATTCCCATGATTGCTAATGGTTTATAGTATCAAATGCTGGTTTGTTCTGGAATGTGAGGGTGCTGTTCCTCAAGTTCTTGTATAATGAACTGTGGCTTCTTCAAATCAAAAGATTCGAGTCTTTTCATAAACACAAACAGGAGATGAATGGTGTTTCTGAATTACTCCAAAATATGATGTGATCACATTTTGGAGGGCTATATTAGTTTACTTGTCCAAATGTCTGACTACTCTTGGTTTCCCTAAAGCCAGCAAATTGAGTTTCTGCTTTGTGGTTATCACTAACTTAAATCTAAAAATCTATGAAAAAGACAACAGAGAAAACAGCAGAAGCTTTTAAAACTAAAAATAGTGGTTCACTTCTTGTGGAACCCAAAGACAGGGCAATTTTTAACAAAGTTATTCACCATTAAGGCTTTGCAAAGTTTCAGATTTGATTATAAAAATATTCTTTGACATATATGGGGATACAAATGAAAACTCATTAAAGAGCAGCTGCACAACCCTAGAAACAGCCACAGCCATCTTAATATATAGTACTGATGATGCTTCAAGTAAAACTGTACTGGTTTGAATTTAGAGAAGTGTTTCTTAGCGTTGGCAACTTTAAGATGTCTGGACTTCCCCAGCATGGAGAATCCTAAAGTTGACAAGGTTGACAACTGATTTAGAGAATCCCTTCATAAACATCTTGATTTGGAACAAAATATTGTGACTCAACAACAGCAAATGAAAACTATATATATGTCACTACCATTGTTTAAACGTTTCATAGTATTGCAGTGGTATAAAGCAGGGGTGTCCAACCTTTCACCTTCCCTGGGCCACATTAGAAGATGAAAATTTGGTTTGGGCCGCACATAATTAAATTAAATAATTAATCAAATCAAATCAAATCAAATCAAATCAAATTAAATTATTAAATTAATTAAATTAAATTAAATTAAATTAAATTAAATTAAATAATAAAATAAAATAAAATTATTATTTATTATTAATTATTTATTAAAAATTATTTATTTTTTATTTTATAATTTTCCGGTCAAATTTTGCGGGGTGGGGGGGGGGGGGAAGAA